CTCATCGCTCTCATGTGTCGCTGTCTAAAGTAGCTTAACATGGATGGATTTTGACAAACTATAATTTCTGGGAAAGCGGATGAATAGGCCAACAAGCTGGCAAATCGGCAAGGCTTTAGACTTGAAACTTTAAGAGTGAGCTCCAGACGTAGGTACATGATGCCCCCAGTTTCGTTTTTGTGCAGGAAGTCCCATAGCAAGGGCTGTCAGCGCCAGCCGACATGGCTCTCATGTGTCGCGGTCTAAAGGTACCTTAACATGGATGGATTTTGAAAAACTATAACTTGTTGGATAGCAGATGCATAGGCCAAAAAGCTGACTAATCGGCAAGGCTTCAGACTTGAAACTTGTGGAGTGAGCTCCAGACGTATGTACGTGATTCCCCCAGTTTCGTTTTTGTGCAGTAAGTCCCATAGCAAGGGCTGTCAGCGCCAGCCGACATGGCTCTCATGTGTCGCGGTCTAAAGGTAACTTAACATGGATGGATTTCGACAGACTATAGCTGGATGGATAGCGGATGAATAGGCCAACAAGCTGACAAATCGGCAAGGCTTCAGACTTGAAACTTTTGGAGTGAGCTACAGACGTAGGTACATGATGCCCCCATTTTTCTTTTTCGTGCAGTAAGTCCCATAGCAAGGGCTGTCAGCGCCAGCCGACATGGCTCTCATGTGTCGCGGTCTAAAAATACCTTAACATGGATGGATTTTGACAAACTATAGGTTTTTAGATAGCAGATGAATGGGCCAACAAGCTGACACATCGGCAAGGCTTCAGACTTGAAACTTTTGGAGTGAGCTTCAGACGTAGGTACATGATGCCCAGTTTCGTTTTTGTGTAGTAAGTCCCTTTAATAGCAAGGGCTGTCAGCTCCAGCCGACATGGCTCTCATATGTCGCGGTCTAAAGGTACTTTAACATGGATGGATTTTGATAAACCATAACTTGTTGGATAGCGGATGAATATGCCAACAAGCTGACAAATCGTCAAGGCTTCAGACTCGAAACTTTTGGAAAGAGCTACAGACGTAGTTACATGATTCCCCATTTTTCTTTTTCGTGCAGGAAGTCCCTTAGCAATGGCTGTCAGCGCCAGCCCTCATAGATCTCATGTGTCGCGGTCTAAAGGTAGCTTAACATGGATGGATTTTGACAAACTATAACTTGTTGGATAGCGAATGAATAGACCAACAAGCTGACAGATCGGCAGGGCTTCAGACTTGAAACTTTTGGAGTGAGCTCCAGACGTAGGTACATGATTCCCCCAGTTTCGTTTTTGTGCAGTAAGTCCCATAGCAAGGGCTGTCAGCGCCAGCCGTCATGGCTCTCATATGTCGCGGTCTAAAGGTACCTTAACATAGATGGATTTTGACAAACTATAACTTGTTGGATAGCAAATTAATAGGCCAACAAGCTGACAAATCGGCAAGGCTTCAGACTTGAAACTTTTCGAGTGAGCTCCAGACGTAGGTACATGATGCCCCCAGTTTCGTTTTTGTGTAGTAAGTCCCATAGCAAGGGCTGTCAGCGCCAGCCGACATGGCTCTCATATGTCGCGGTCTAAAGGTACTTTAACATGGATGGATTTTGATAAACTATACCTTGTTGGATAGCGGATGAATAAGCAAACAAGCTGACAAATCGTCAAGGCTTCAGACTTGAAACTTTTGGAGTGAGCTCCAGACGTAGTTACCTGATGCCCCCATTTTTCTTTTTCGTGCAGTAAGTCCCTTAGCAAGAGCTGTCAGCGCCAGCCGACATGGATCTCATGTTTCGCGGTCTAAAGGTACCTTAACATGGATGGATTTTGACAAGCTATAACTTGTTGGATAGCGGATGAATAGACAAACAAGCTGACAAATCGGCAAGGCTTCAGACTTGAAACTTGTGGAGTGAGCCCCAAACGTAGGTACATGATGCCCTGAGTTTCGTTTTTGTTCAGTAAGTCCCATAGCAAGGGCTGTCAGCGCCAGCCGACATGGCTCTCATGTGTCGCGGTCTAAAGGTAACTTAACATGGATGGATTTCCACAGACTATAGCTTGTTGGATAGCAGATGAATAGGCCAACAAGCTGACAAATCGTCAAGGCTTTAGACCTGAAACTTTTGGATTGAGCTTCAGACGTAGGTACATGATGCCCCCAGTTTTGTTTTTGTCTAGTAAGTCCCATAGCAAGGGCTGTCAGCGCCAGCTGACATGGCTCTTATGTGTCGCGGTCTAAAGGTACTTTAACATAAATGGATTTTGACAAACTATAGCTTGTTGGATAGCGGATGCATAGGCCAACAAGCTGACAAATCGTCATGGCTTTAGACTTGAAACTTTAAGAGTGAGCTCCAGACGTAGGTACATGATGCCCCCAGTTTCGTTTTTGTGCAGGAAGTCCCATAGCAAGGGCTGTCAGCGCCAGCCGACATGGCTCTCATGTGTCGCGGTCTAAAGGTACCTTAACATGGATGGATTTTGAAAAACTAAAACTTGTTGGATAGCAGATGCATAGGCCAACAAGCTGACGAATCGGCAAGGCTTCAGACTTGAAACTTGTGGAGTGAGCTCCAGACGTATGTACGTGATTCCCCCAGTTTCGTTTTTGTGCAGTAAGTCCCATAGCAAGGGCTGTCAGCGCCAGCCGACATGGCTCTCATGTGTCGCGGTCTAAAGGTAACTTAACATGGATGGATTTCGACAGACTATAGCTGGATGGATAGCGGATGAATAGGCCAACAAGCTGACAAATCGGCAAGGCTTCAGACTTAAAACTTTTGGAGTGAGCTACAGACGTAGGTACATGATGCCCCCATTTTTCTTTTTCGTGCAGTAAGTCCCATAGCAAGGGCTGTCAGCGCCAGCCGACATGGCTCTCATGTGTCGCGGTCTAAAAATACCTTAACATGGATGGATTTTGACAAACTATAGGTTTTTAGATAGCAGATGAATGGGCCAACAAGCTGACACATCGGCAAGGCTTCAGACTTGAAACTTTTGGAGTGAGCTTCAGACGTAGGTACATGATGCCCAGTTTCGTTTTTGTGTAGTAAGTCCCTTTAATAGCAAGGGCTGTCAGCTCCAGCCGACATGGCTCTCATATGTCGCGGTCTAAAGGTACTTTAACATGGATGGATTTTGATAAACCATAACTTGTTGGAAAGCGGATGAATAGGCCAACAAGCTGACAAATCGTCAAGGCTTCAGACTCGAAACTTTTGGAAAGAGCTACAGACGTAGTTACATGATTCCCCCATTTTTCTTTTTCGTGCAGGAAGTCCCTTAGCAATGGCTGTCAGCGCCAGCCCTCATGGATCTCATGTGTCGCGGTCTAAAGGTAGCTTAACATGGATGGATTTTGACAAACTATAACTTGTTGGATAGCGAATGAATAGACCAACAAGCTGACAGATCGGCAGGGCTTCAGACTTGAAACTTTTGGAGTGAGCTCCAGACGTAGGTACATGATTCCCCCAGTTTCGTTTTTGTGCAGTAAGTCCCATAGCAAGGGCTGTCAGCGCCAGCCGTCATGGCTCTCATATGTCGCGGTCTAAAGGTACCTTAACATAGATGGATTTTGACAAACTATAACTTGTTGGATAGCAAATTAATAGGCCAACAAGCTGACAAATCGGCAAGGCTTCAGACTTGAAACTTTTGGAGTGAGCTCCAGACGTAGGTACATGATGCCCCCAGTTTCGTTTTTGTGTAGTAAGTCCCGTAGCAAGGGCTGTCAGCGCCAGCCGACATGGCTCTCATATGTCGCGGTCTAAAGGTACTTTAACATGGATGGATTTTGATAAACTATACCTTGTTGGATAGCGGATGAATAAGCAAACAAGCTGACAAATCGTCAAGGCTTCAGACTTGAAACTTTTGGAGTGAGCTCCAGACGTAGTTACCTGATGCCCCCATTTTTCTTTTTCGTGCAGTAAGTCCCTTAGCAAGGGCTGTCAGCGCCAGCCGACATGGATCTCATGTTTCGCGGTCTAAAGGTACCTTAACATGGATGGATTTTGACAAGCTATAACTTGTTGGATAGCGGATGAATAGACAAACAAGCTGACAAATCGGCAAGGCTTCAGACTTGAAACTTGTGGAGTGAGCGCCAAACGTAGGTACATGATGCCCTGAGTTTCGTTTTTGTTCAGTAAGTCCCATAGCAAGGGCTGTCAGCGCCAGCCGACATGGCTCTCATGTGTCGCGGTCTAAAGGTAACTTAACATGGATGGATTTCCACAGACTATAGCTTGTTGGATAGCAGATGAATAGGCCAACAAGCTGACAAATCGTCAAGGCTTTAGACCTGAAACTTTTGGAGTGAGCTCCAGACGTAGGTACATGATGCCCCCAGTTTCGTTTTTGTGCAGTAAGTCCCATAGCAAGGGCTGTCAGCGCCAGCCGACATGGCTCTCATGTGTTGCGGTCTAAAGGTACCTTAACATAGATGGATTTTGACAAACTATAGCTTGTTGGATAGCGGATGAATAGGCCAACAAGCTGACAAATCGGCAAGGCTTCAGACTTGAAACTTTTGGAGTGAGCTCCAGACGTAGGTACATGATGCCCCCAGTTTCGTTTTTGTGCAGTAAGTCCCATAGCAAGGGCTGTCATCGCCAGCCGACATGGCTCTAAGGTGTTGCGGTCTATTTTCTTTGATTATTTTTTTTAATTTAATTAATTATTGTCGTCTTTTCCTGACTTTTATTATGTGCGTTTGTTTTAGTATTCTGTTCTATCGTTCACCGTGCTCAAAGCTACAAGTGGGCTAGTTCCTGTGGCAAGCATGTGGGGTTTTTCTCTGAGGCAAGCATGTATAATTGTATTTCATGCAGCGAATTGCCTACAATAATGCCGACTGAATAATGCGCATACGGCCATTAAATGTAATTATATTGCAGCATGAATGTGTATGATGAGATTCGGTCTACGTCTGGAATATCCATAAATATACGTCAGCACTCACAACGCCCTGTATCATATATTGGAAACGCGATAGAGACGCAACCATGGCCATGTATAAGACCCTGCTTCTGTTTTCGATGCTTCTTTGCAAGGCGGAGAGCAACTGGGGCGCCGCCGGTAACAATGACCCCTCCAAAGGAAACTTGGTAATAAAACATTTTGCTAACTTTCATTCTGTTTTTATTAAAAAGATATTAGATCTGATGAAGGGAGTCAAGTGGAACCTTTTTTGATTCCAGCAAATCACTTCGACAGCATTAAATTTTCCTTCCTAGCATTTCAAAAGTTTGTCAATTTTAAATGAGACATCGATCCACGTGTAATTATGGAATTATTTTACAAATTTCTAATTATTTTGCGGCACAACAACGTTTTAGTTCTCCAAGGATAGACCGGGAACATAATATGTCGGAAACCTGAATTTGCATTTTCACAAAGAGCCACATATGTTTACTAATTAATTTTCACCAATTAACTGCTGTATTAAGTCTTATTACTGGGTTCATGTAAAAAATCAGCTCTCGTAGAATCGTTTGATGGTTTCCTTGCTGCACAAAGTTGTTGCAAAGTGGTATTTTTTGCAGTTTTAAAATATGAGAAACTTCTTTTGCGATTATCTCGAAAACGCTTTTTCTTCAAAATCCACATTATGTGGCTCTCCGTGAAAGCGATGACGGTTTGGTACACAAAAATAGAGGTCAGTTTATTCGTAAAAATCAAACTGAAGTCAATTTAAAATTCGCTACAAATGTTCTTGAAGAGCACGGATCCTACATACACAGACAGGAAGTCGAAAAGAAAGCGACCTATAGATTATTGATTTTTTTTTCTTCAAAAGCAATTAAATTTGACACACCAAAGAAACACACGTTTATAAACGAGCATGTTCTTCCACTAATTTGAAAAAAGGGAATTACTGAAATTGATCCATGCTGTGAGAACTTATGCATACTTTTACTAAAGGAATCCGTTTTTACAGCTGTCCAAGGAATGCAATTTGAAGCCATTGAGCTGAGTGAGAACCACAGATTACACACAGGCATTCAGATACAAAACGAGATTTTGGTAATTTTTTGGTCAAAACTAAAACATTATGTTTACTGTCACATTTTAATATCTGAAAATGAGGAAATTAATGTTTTTCTGAAATAATGAAGGTGATTTTCGTCTGTTATTCTGTGCAAACTTTTGTTCATTAAAAAGGTATGTCTCATAGTTTTTATACATGTTAGAGGAATGGACATTTTCTACAAAATATGCTCCATCTGATGAACCCTTTAAAACAAAACATACAAATTGAAAATTGTTAAGAGAAAACAATCCAATTTTTGAAGAGCTACGGGGTGTACAACTTTAAGCGGTAACTGCGTGCTTGGCATGTCTGTACTACTTTCCTATTATAGGGTTTTAGTGCGTTCAACATGACATGCAACGAAGATGGTTCCTCCTGTCAACATTGCTTCAGCATGGCCGCCAACGGAAAGATATATTTAAGTATGTATCCAACAAAATATCTAAACATTGTAGATGAAATTGGAGGAAACTAATAACTTACTAACTCATAATACGGAAATTTTTTAACACTGTATTCTGCTTAGTCCGAAGTGAAAAATGCGTTGGCACGCCGAAGCGCAATTAGAATACCGAACTCTACCTTGTTTGATTTTATTGGTTCTTGATCAAAATCGAAATTGAAGAATGTGGACATCAAAAGCCATGGGCGGAGATCCGGGGGGGGGGATAGGGGATAAATCCCCCCACTTGGTGGGGTATAAAATTATCCCCCCAGAATTTCCAACACCCTTTATTAAATAGCGCCCTAAATCTGCGAATAGTTCCCCCCCCCCCCTCCCCCCGCTTTTCAAAAATTTTGCAGGCTCAAATTTTTTTCATGGTCACTTTTTGGGGAATTTTACCCCCCAAAAATGTGATCGTTTCCCCTCCCCCCCCCCCAACCTTTGTGTCAGAAATCTCCGCCACTGTCAAAAGCTATACCTCAAAGTTTGTTTGTAAGTGTCTCGCCTGTGCAGAAATGCCGGTCAATATAATCGTTGATCTTTAAAACCATACTTTACTTGTATGGGTGTTATTCTGCAGTTTCGATCGAATACACAGCGGACCCTTTCAAGTTCCAGGTTCACATCACTGAAGGAAACAATGACTGGAATATGTATTTTGTGCAAGGTGAGATAGGATACCAATTGTGAGTCTTTTCTGTAGACCCATAGCTTTGTCACGTGTAAAGGGGTCAGTTAAAAGGGACATTACGTCATGGAATGCGCCCAATAATTGGGCTGCAAAACGCGTTTTAAACGAAATTATGTTAAATATCTGGAAAGATCATTATTTTAAAAGTAGGAAATAAACATCCACACAACCATCTCTTAAAAACTGGGCGCTTTTGTGTTATTCTTACGAGAACGAATTTCCTACCGAACATGTTCCACCAATGCGGACTTGCGAGAAACATCATTTGTGTATTGGTGCTGTGTGTATTATGTGACATACACAGCGTGTACACCCCTATTGAATGAACACGGCTGGAATTACGTATGTGTATGCCACAAAATCTCAGCCGCGTCAGAAGTAGACAACCGCCGATTTTTCGTTTTTGCTCAGGAACAGTTCGGCATTTCCTTTCAACCAGATCTTTGAAATAGGATGAGTAAACAATCCAAAACATACATTGTTTTCGGGGATTTCAGGCCGTAAAGTCCCTTTAAAAACGCTGCTATAATGAGCTTACGACTTTTGTGACAGCTATTGGTGACTGGCACGGTAATTCCTACATGATTGTTTGTATTGAGTAAATGGAGATCTTGTTGTTTTAATTCAGTCGTAATGAATACGCAAAAGGTCTATTTAAATACGGTGCGGATTCGGGTATTCATTTGGAACAATAACAAAAGATGTTATCAAGTGTCAATTAATACCTTTTTGTTTCCTATTTGCAAACGCTTGTGATATATTTTCAGGTTCTTCATTGCATACCTATTTTCTTTTCTTTTCTTTTTTCTCAATTCACAGAGGATCAATATGTTGACTCTCGATGGTGCGACAATGCAAATTTCATTTCAAGAGACAGCACCCGTCAGGAGATGAGATTCACAATGTGCATCGAGAACCGATTCACCGGTATTTCTGTGCCGGCTGGCTGCCCGAAACCCGTGGCCCTGGTGGAGCTCGACGCTCACGAATATGACGAGAAAATACGCGGTCAACAAATGTTGTACTGCCTGTAAGTAGTTTATTAATAATCGTGATATTGTTACTAAACTTTTCACGGGATCTCTGCTTGGTATAGATCAATCCTGGCACGCTATCAATTCTATCACGGAGGCCCCCTTCAATGGCGAAAGCATTGTGCTAGCTACATTGCCAAGATAATCCGTCACGGAGCAGTTGCTGTTGTACAATAGCGCTCACAGTGGTTTCTCCATTGAAGGGGGCCTCATGAGTGTGCAGCGTTATAGGATCACGGATTCATCATCAATTCACAGTGGTTGAACTTGAAAATAATCATACACTCAATTTATTGTTATTTGTTTTAAAGGAAACATGCAGTGGAATTTCGGCTCTCCTTGTTTTTATGCACATTACTATGTGTTGCAACAATACATACAAGATCTTAATCCTTTTTTCCCTGGAAGTGACAAGAAAGTGGTATATTTTCAACTATTAGCAAATCCTTTCATCAATACATGTAAGAGGGCGCTTTTGTCACACAACGTACTCCTTGTCAAAAGTGCCTTATGAACAGTACACAAATTAGTCCTTCAAAATTACCCACAAACAAAATGTTTGCCACTACTATTGGCCAAACAAGCTGTTTAACACATGATAAACAAGTAAAAAGTGGATCTTACTCCAAGATAATGAAGAAAAGTTTGATATATATTTGTACACAAAGCAATGGAGACACAACTGTTCTGCCTTGAATGACGTCACGCTTTGGCTCATGAATGTGGATATTTTCATTAGCATAAAAACTAAAAAGTTAAAATTTCTCCCTTTTACTGCTGCAAAGGAAATGGAAAGTCATAGGTTCATGGCAAGAAAGCTGTTTTCAATGTATTTAAGTCATAAAAGTCCTACTGCGTGTTCCCTTTAAAAGACGAAGCCAACTACTTCTTTAATCAAGTTATTCATACTTTTCCGGCCTAATTGTGCATGTTCCATGTAGTTTTGGCAACTTTTGTGCTGGAGGTTACGCAAAAAAGAAGAGATCGTTCAGATTTAAAATAACAAGCTTGGAATCTGCTTCTTTTAATCAGGTAAATAAAAGGTTGTTATTCCCTTTCTTCATGTTTTTGGATGAATTACATTATAATGGTAAAAAAAACAACTGTATTAAACATAACAGCGATTTTGACACATATATCTAAATCTATAAGTTCATAATAATAATTATTAAGCTTTGCATTAATGTTTGTAATATACCATATCGTTGCTATCGCTATCACTTCAGATTTATTATTTCCTACATTTTGATGAGAACAATGAAATTTATAAAGAAAAAAGTGCGCGTTAAACTATTTGATTGGTCACATTACTTTTTTTTTTAAATGTTTACAGTTTGGTAAAATTTAACTTTGTTATAAGTCAACATTTTTTCCATCTTAAACATTGACCTGTATGACAGTATTGCGGGAAATATGTTATCAAAATACTGCTGCATCTACAGAATTACCAATTTTATACAGTTGCTTCCACTTATGTTGTACGTAGTCTATCAATTCTACAGAGCAACGTAACCCAAAAAACTAATTAATTGGTGAAAATTGCTGTCAAATGTGTATTTCTAATTACTTCCAGTCTGCTTCAATTAATAATTTAAAATTTGTAATTAAACATTCCCTAATGTTAAAAGCCAGACTTAAAAAAATTGTGCCTGCATAAATAGTCTGGCGCCATCCCATTCAACAGTTAACAATTAATGAAATTCATTCAGGGAACTCGACAAAAATGGCCACCTTGTGAATAAGGCCCATCGCAACGATAAAAGGCCAATGTTTTATGAGCTACTAATCAAAAGTTTAAACTGTTTTTTTTTTTAAATAGGTGAAAATTGCTGTCTAATGTGTATTTCTTTTATTTTGACATTACATGTATAGTCACTCAAACACCACCAACAAATTGTATACATGAGCCACCTGTACTCTAATCTGTTACACAAATGATCATCAACTAAAAACCACGAAGGCAAACTCACTACGTTCATATAAATTTAGGTTTAAACAATCTTTGACAACACATAGAAATTAATTAAAGTTGCTACTCTTCGCTGGTCCCGGAGACTTACTGACTCCTGACTGTCCAGGCAGCGTTATCGCCTATCGTGTATGATTACACCATAACGCAAATGAATGGGCTAAAACGGCTTATTGTGTGCAGAGATACATGAAAATATTTCCAGTGCACAACCATTCTGGCCGGATCAATTGAACATGGATCAGCGATAATACTGCACTCAACCAAAAAAGAAAGTCCCCCTTAATACTTTTTTGTCTAACTCAAAAACTACTGGGCACATCTTGCTCAAATTTCGACTGATCAGTACAGAAATTCCTTAGCAATCCAGCCATACTCTTTGTTTGGCCCAAAAACAGTGATGTACAAAATTATGCTATTTTTGACAAATGGTTCCAAAAAAAGTTGCAAGAAGATCAGTGTGAATCGCAACTTGCACGTATACAACTGTTTTCGGTACCATTTGTCATAAAGTACCATTTGTCATAAATTACATAAATTCGTACACCGTCAATGTTTAAGTATGGATGGATTGCTAAGGAATTTCTGTACTGATTAGTCGTTATTTGAGCGAGAGGCGCTTAGTAGAAAAGTATTGGAAGGGGGGACTTTCCCTTTTGGTTGAGTGTAGGTTTGCCCTGTCTTGATTTCATTGAAATGTCTCCACTTTGTTTCGTTGCCCAAAATGTAAGACCACAATTTTCTAAGACGATCCGCGCTGCAGAGGGCAGGGTTCGTAGAATTTCCACTCTGCGTGCTCTTCGGAATGCAGGGTTGCCGCCTTGACCACGTTGGATTTGCCAACGTGCTCATCGCGGTAGTGCAGCAGCGGTACGTCCCTACCATTGATGCCTACCTTAAACGCGCCGCTTTCGTAGGTTATCCAGAACGGAGACGCCTCGCCGAAGGCAACGCCGTGGTAGACGGTGTCGACGTGTTCACCATTTTTGCGGAGAGACTCGTAGATGTACGAGCTTTCGGGGCTGGCTCTCAACACTGTTAGGGTGGAAATAATACCAGTTTTATAATGTCTGACGCTCTTTTACGAAGGTTAATTCGGTAGGTCCAGTCCTTTAGGGTGTAACACCTTTTTAAGTTTTGTTGTTTTCAAATTGATTTGCTGACAGCATTTTCGCGAACATTCCGATAATCGTAAAAGGGTAAACGAGATTTTAATTGTTAATAGGAAACTCGTCTTCATTCCAATCAGTCTCGGCGTGTAATAAGATATTTATAGAACACTGAATAACACTACGACGTGTAGTTACTGTGTTGTATTCAATACAGTTATTTCCATTATTTTAAGCATGCCAGATGGTGTGTTATAGAGAGAACCTTTAGTTGAGGAGTTGTGTATGGGCGTCGCCAGGATTTTCTTAAGAAGAGGGCAAAGCACATTTCCCCCCGAAATCCCTAAGCTGTTTCAGCATATTCTCGATTTCTCATTTTTCGACGGTGAGCAGGGACATTTGCCGGCCCCCCCCCCCAATCCATTAAATTAACAGCAATATGACTTTGCGCCTCTTTTTCTTTCTTTTGTCCGGTTTTTTTTTTTTGGGGGGGGGCTTTTCCAGGGGGCAAGCCTTGCCCCGACCCTCGCAACGCCTATGGATTTGTGGTATTTTGAACTTATTTTTTTTTTAAATATCCAAAATGTTATACAAATTGTGTATTATGTATTCACTTGGTCTTGAGTTAGTGGTTTTCGGGGTCATCTTGGATTTCGATTAAACGTTAAATAAACATGAACAGATTTGAATCCAACTCACCCACACCATAGAGCGTTCGCTGCAGATCCCTGAAGCGAATCCTGAGGAGGCCACTACTCTGCACTGTGAAATTCATCCGCACTGGGTACGAGTTGAAATTTCCACTCTCCGGTATGCGAACGTCTGTGTTTGATGTCGTCTTGTAGATGGCACAGGGCGAGGAACCATCTGTGGCACATGCGCAAAACAAATCTGTATGAGAGTGTAATTTATAAGCCTCAGTCCTATTCTGTTTTGTCCAGTCCATTATACTCCTTGCGCGAACGGAAGAAGGCGCTTTCTACCCCAACTTCGCTGGTACCCAACACCATACCCAAGGCCGCTGGTGGCCTATAATTTCCTTGAGCTGTCATTGGACGGATTTTGACTGCTCAGATGATGGTCTTGGGTACCGGTCAACACTTAAATCGGTCATAGCATGTGCCCTATCTAACCACAATGCTCCGAAGTGAAATCGTGTGAGATAACGGCAAGTGTCCAACATGGAAACTTCCACCATATTATTCTTGTCGTCAGGTTTGCACCAACTTCAAATGGTACATGGGTATCATTGCATATTGTACTATAACATAAAACTTGATAGCATGAAATTTGCAGCCAGCTGACTACAGCTGGGGTCAGCTGGGTGCAAGTTTAACTGTTTTGCCAGTCAGCCACTGTACGGGCTGTGTGCACCGTAGACATCTTCCATGTGCGTGTTTTTGTTCCAAAGGAGCGTGCATTATGGGTGCAGCTTTTAACGTGCTTATAGTATACGGTGGCCTGGAAACGACACTTTAATGTTAACCTTTTCAATACTAACGTTTAACCTTCGCAATAAAAAAGTTTATCCTTTGCAATGTGCACGTCGCACGTTGCTTAATTTCGCAATGTGGACATTTCTCCTTCAATGTGAATTACGATTAATCTTGTTAACGTTTGATCTTGTCAATGTGGACCATGAATCATGCTTGATGTCAATGTCGCACTTTGCTTCTTCGCAGTTTGAACCTTCGCATTGTCAACATTCGACCTTGCATCTACTTGAGGACATCGTACATTTTTTTTCAATTGTTCAGTACGCATCGTTCACATCGCGATGCGTACTGAGCAATTGGAAAAAATGTACTATGTCCTCGCCAAGCCATATAGATAAACCAACCAGTCGATATTATAATTCAGTATATGACGGCTGTTTAATGTCACTTAATCTCACATACTCGGGGCCTAGGTTATCAGGTATTTG